ATCAATCAATTAATCAAAATAAAAGTTAATGTAGTTATTTCCATGAAAAAGTACAAAATCATAGAATAGTCTGTAATATCATTGCCAGGGCCACATGGAAAGAGTGACTTATCCACATAAGTGGATAAGTCGTGCAGCCGTAACTATAGTGAAACATCACCAGTGTTGAAAGCTTTTATATCCCCCCAGTGATGGCTGGATGATAGTATAAACCGTAAGTATAAATATCTCTATGTTGGTGTGAGGATAGCATTCCACATTAGTACAAGTAGCAGTGAGATGGCTGAAGTGCCCTATGAGGCAACTAGTTGCCCCGAATATCTTTGAAATAACTTTACTGTATATCTGAAATGTTCCATTGGAACAGAAATATTGCTAATGTGAATACATTTCTCTGTCAGTTCTGTATATACGCCAGAATGGACCTTAAGCCTCAGTAAATCTTGGTACAGTTTCCATTGTCAGGCATGACTAAGCAGCAAATCAAGCTCTCAGTTTGGTGCAACAGGCCTTCTTTAGTATAAGCTGGTCCTTATGAGAAAACCTTGGATTATGTTGACATTTCTTGGGAATATAAAACCAAAGAATGCTTGGCTACTCAGTGTATGTGTTTAAGTGTATATTGTAGAAAGTATTGTGAAATGAAACTAAATGAAAGCGCAGGAAGAATTAAACAATTTTATATGAAATGTCAAGCCAGTTAAAATACATTTAACTTTTTTTAGAAGTCACAAAATGGATACAAAACAATGTAACTATTACATGTTCAGTCTATGCTTCCTGCTCTTTTCTCCTTTAATTAAAAAAACTGTATTCTCTACTTCATTCAAGTTCACAGTCCTTGCTGGGCTTCAGTTTTGATTAATTTTAGAATTGAAGTACCTAAAATGAGATTTTTTGCATTAGTGAAATACAGCAACATGTCCAAGCCTGTGGGGTGAAGTGTTGGTGGTTTAAAGTATCTTCTCTCTCAGAAGATCTCTGAATCCTCAGAGTTTATACATGCCATATTCTATCTTGGTGTAATGGTTCTGCTGCTACTACCTGTCTTCCAGGAGCATGCCTTACAGTATGCATTCCAGGAGCATGCCTTACAGTACCTGTTGCCATACTTACTATGTTCTGTGAGACAAATAAGGCCTCTACACCCTGTCTGTCTTACTCACTTGGGAGGGGGGAGAGAAAATATTTTATTTAGACTTACAGTTTTGAAGCCCAAGGTTAGGGATATCTCTGTGGAGCAATAGATGAATCTCAAAAGAGAGAAATTATAAGGACCTGCCTCAATTAAGTCTCCCCTAAAAGCAGAACTCTTGAAACTCACATTGTCTCAACAAGAACTTTTATTGGAAGGTATTGATAGCAGGAGAGTAAGGCAGGATCTGAGGATTTCCTACGCGAAACATTACATGAAAAGGATCCTTTCAAACCCCACCCCAAATGTCCAGCTGGCAGTTTGAATTTAACTAATCCATAGGTGTTAAGTTGTTGTGGGAAAGAACCAATAAGATGCTGTTCTCAAGGCTGTCAGGTTTCTTCCCATCCGGCTGGAGATAAGGCAGATGGCCAGAGGCACATTCCTTTCACACTCCAAGTAAGATATTTCAAAGAAGATAGAACAAAGCAAAGGAAATACATTGTAGAAGACCCATAGGTTGTTCCTCCCTTCTAAGCACAAACCTTTCCCCCTCAATAGAATGGCAGAACCCAAAAATGAAAGGCATCAGAAAGAAATACATTGAGGGTCCCACAGAAATAGAATCAAACATGACATTTTAAAGAGAAGAAATAAAAGAATATAAAAATTCCTTTTTAACTGGAAGTAGTTACAAGAAAAACTATTAGTGGTAGAAAACATAAAATTACAGAGCTGCTCAAACCGCATCCTAAAAGAAACTCCAGTAAAATATATATCGTCAAAGATAACACTCTGAGTGAACCACAAGGTAAGATGGCATGCTCCTATTAAGAGACAGTCTGGTGCAAAAAGGGTTCAAGTTGCATAAAAAGACACATTGACTGAGTCAATGGATTCCAGAGACAATAACATTTAAATGTGTAGGAAGTCAGCCCCCCAGAGAAGGAAATATTAAAAGGGAAGAAAAATATATTTCCTCAAAAGGATTTTAAAAGCAGAAACCAACCCTGTCCCCAAGTCTCTGTCCCAAGCAGAAGCCAGCTCTGTACAAATGCAGATGTAAACAATCAAGAAAGTTGGAGCTAGAAGCTAGGAGAAGACAAAGACACCTAAAACCTACAAATCCCACCCAAACTCTAAGAATCATTAGCCCCAGCACCAGGGAAGCAGAATATATAATAGGATTAACCCACCAACAACAAGAATACCAGAAAGGCACACCCAGACTCAGGTCAGAATACGTTACACAGGAAATACAAAGCCTGAAACAGGAACAGGAAACTACTTCAAACAAAAGACTCAAGAGGAGTATAAAAACCTACTACCCACATGTGCTCAGTCCTTTTTCTCTCCTCTTTCCTGCCAGAACCATCTTTCTGTCTGGCTCTCCAATAAACTGCAACCTTCTTTCTAAAGCAGTTGCCATGTTGTTTATTTATCCCCGGCTTGGATGAACCAGGATGAAGACTTTTCTTTCAACAAATGATATATACATTTCAAAATAAAAAGCAATTTTTCACAATAAAGCTCCACTGTCACCAATGTTTCTGGTCTGCTTCCCTGGATTTTCCAGATTTTTGCACATTATAATCTTAAACCAGAGGTTTAAGAAAGCAGTTGTAATTTTTCATTTTTAAATAGACTCAGTACTGGAAGGTAACCTCAGCTAATTTCTTTTAAAAGGACCAAAATCTTTCTCTCTCTAAAGGAAGGGGAGGAGCTGGAGGAAGCCTGTCTTTTGATGCATGCTCAGTTTTCATGTTGATTGCAAACGTCTGCTGTCTGCCTGGCATGCAGCTGACAGACTGTGAAAGCAGACTGGAATGGTTTCTCAATGAAAACCTACTGTGTTTAGACAGTATAATATTTTGCATGTATAATTAGAATATGCAAGTGAGCAGTTAATTTGGAAGTTAGTGGTTGAGGCCATCAGAAGAGCAAGAACCACCCGAAACTGTAAAAGAGGAAGTGAAGCAGTTAACTGATTACCTTGTAACAATATTTGTGCATTTGGGGACTAAATGGTACACAGTAAGATCAGATATGATCAAACCTATACCATTAACATAAAGACTTTGAAAAATAATGTATAGTTTTATAGATGGCACCTTGATCCACAAAAAATGTCTCATATGTATCCCGACTTACAGCCCAGATGTTGGAGATGTGGTTGTTTGGATGCTACTTATTACCATATTTGGTGGTCGTGTAAAAATATAAAAGCCTTTTGGATTAAGATATGGTGGAATATTCAAAGAATTTTTAGAAAGAGGGTAAAATTTACCCCACAATTGTTTTTGCTAGGTATTGTTACCGATTGTGATACTAAGGAGGTTATATTGATGTTAAATTTAATTACAGCTGCAAGGTTGTTAGTAGGGCAATATTGGAAGAAGGAATCTTTGCCTACTTTGCAAGAGTGGTTTTTTAAAGTTTCCTATCTGGCGGAAATGGCAAAGATTTTGGCTTTTTTCAATCGCAAGAGAAGTTTTTTGTGGTATGGGAAAAATGGATAGATTTTATACAACATAAGTTGGATATAAAAAATATTACTTAGTTTATCAATAATTTATATACAAATTTTAATATTTTATAGATTGTATTATTTTTTCTTTTTCTTTATATGTTTTATTATTATTTTATTTTCTTATATTTCTTTTCTTCTTTCTTTCTCTTTATTCTTTTTTTTAGGTATTTTCTTTTTTTTTCTTTAATATTTATCTCTTTTTTATATATATATATTATTGTTAATTATTCTATTAGTAGTTTAAGTAATGTATTTAGACTTATCTATGGTTTATATATATTTTTTTTTTAAGAATTCAAGAAAATTTAATTAAGCCTATATTCAGCTCTGGGAAAGTTGAGGGAGGGACTGGGAGGGTTGGGGTGGGTTGGGGAGGGTTGTTTTTTCTTATTTTGTAAAATTTTAAAAATTTTCAATAAAAAAAGAAAAAGAAAAATAATGTATAAAAATAGCTAACTAGGTCTACCTTCAAAGCAATTCCTATACAGAAGATGCACAAGCACAATAACTGTTCTGATAGTTCCTGAAGTCCTAAAGCAATTTAAAGGTTTTTGCCTAGGCCAACCTCTTCGCTGTTATCTATTGCTTTTCTCAAAGATCCTATGTGTTTTAATGTTCCTCCAAAAATACATATATGTAAAAGAAGAAAAATACAGAATGTTCATAGGGGAAAAAAAATCCCAAGGTATACTATATGGTCTATCTATATTCTCTATTAAATAAGTGATAGTCCTCACTTAGCAATCACAATTGAGCCCAAAATTTTGGTCATAAGTCATTGTGGTCATTAAGTAGGTTACCATATGATCTGACTCAATTTTATGATTATTTTCATGCCCAAAATGCAATCACATGACTGTGGGTTGTGGGGGGGCAACAATCATAAATTGAAGGACAGATTGTGTTTGAGGTCCACTGTAAAGTGACTGCTTAAGAGATTGGTTATTAAACAAGGACTAACTGTATTGTCCACAGTTTGAATCAAAATGTTGTTCCATAGGTGGATTTATTTTTATAATTATGCTTGGAGGAAAGAAGATATGCTCAGAATTTCTAGAGTTTTAGTTAGCAGTAGATCACTTTGATACAGATATATGTATGTCTTTTATTGATAAGATTTAGACTCAAGCATCAAAATTGTTTTAAAATTTTATATTCAATTTTAGAACCTTGTAACACTTCCTTCAATTAAAAAAAGCCTCTGAAGAATAAGCATTCTGAAAGTTCATTCTGTAACAGTGAGTGGTAATCAATTGTGCAAAAACAGTCAAAGTTGGATTTTGATTTGTGTTATTTTATTTTTGAAATAAAAGTAACCCTAACTTTTATTTCTAGAAAAGCTGATTGCTTATCAAAGAGAGTTTCACGCTTTGAAGGAACGCCTTCGTATAGCTGAGCACAGAACCCTGCAACGTTCTTCTGAATTAAATACCATCTTGGAGCAGTTCAGACGGGCAGTAGCAGAAACAAATGGAAGTAAGGATGCATTGAGCAGTGTTTCAGGTACAGAATGATGAGTTTGAAGATTATTGGGCTTGCTATTCTCACTAGGTTTCTCCTGCTTTCCATAAGTCATAGAATACAAAACTCCTCTTACATTATTATTTCTCGCTTTCATATGCAATTGAACATAAAATACTACTTTCAGTTATTACTTCTCTTTATTACTATTGTCTTTCACTTTTCTCTCTGTACCAGGAATTCTCAAGAAGTTGCAGTATAATTTGAGATTTATTTTTACTTTGCATGGACATGGATAGCCTCTTTTGAGAGTTGTTTGTTCTGCTGTGAGATTTTGTAAAGATTAATGTTAGGCATATATTCACTAATCCTATTCAGACTCTTCTCCCATTCATTCACATTCACACTCATTCACACACACACACACACACATACACACACACACACACACACCTGCCTTTTATTATGCTGTCTGCTTCCTCCTCCATCTATATATAAACAAGGGCGATCTGTGACTTATTTACTTGATGATCAGAGCAACAGCAGTTATTCTGCTAGTAAACCTCTTAGGTTGCATTGGATACATTGAAAGAAGGTAGTATTGCTCATAGGCTTAACTCAGGTCTTAGCCATTTGTTTTTGCCTTTCCACCCAGAAGATCTTGGGAGGTATGACCTCCAGAAAACCAGAGACCACTCTGTGATAGAAAAGTGATATAAAAATGTCAAACCCTTGCAACTGTCCAGTGGTTGGCTTGTTTGGTTGATTTGGTTTTGTAGTCCAGCTCCAGGAGGGGATAGAAGCAGAGAAGAAAGACAATAGACTCCCCCAAAGGATGGAGGAGGATCAAGGGCAAACTTTCAAAAATCTGGCTACTTTGACAGAACCCCAAATATCTGGCCACCCTAAATGGAAATGTTGCTTCCTTTCTTAAACTGATTGACTAATATGATGTATGAGAGGTTGTTTCCATTTCTTTTGCACCATTGGACTATCTAAGTACAAGTTTTTTTATTATCTGATACTCTATATATCTTACATTTGATCCATTGCACTAAACCATAATATAAAATTCATTAAGAGACTAGACAATCTATGTGCTATATTTTACTTACCTAAGGAGATAAACAGAATGATCACTGGGGGGGAGAGGGAGAGGACAAAAAAGCAGTGTAAGTGAGAGTAACCCAACTTCTTGCCAGCTTCTCTACTGACTTTGCTCGTGGGAAGCTGGCAGGGAAAACAAAATCCTGTTGACAGTGGCTGACCATAACGGCACTCTAGTAGCATAATTTGGCAAATAAAATTGGTGTGTGAAGATTTTTGAAATTTTAATTACATGGGAGTAAGGGTCCAAAAGAAATGAATTTTGTTAGAGAATTTTAATTTCTCTGTTAGTGAAAAAATAAATCAGAAGCTCTCACAGTTGACTGCATTTAGCTGATTCAAAATAACTTCTTTATATTTATATCAAAATATTTACAATACCATACATTCTTCTTTACAGCAACATAGCTTAATGAAGACTTCTTACAGAGAGATACAGAGACAAACCTAAGACTGGAAAAATCCAGCTCCTAACTCAATACCCTTTTTGCACAGACTCAGTAGCACTTTCTTCACATTGGCTGACTGAGTTACTACATGACTCTTCCTGCTCATGAATATTCCAATACTCCTCCCTTCATGACAGGAAGAGACATCAGACCTATTGACTTAACACATTCTTCATAGTGAACACTACCCAATGGTTTGGTCATCATGTCTGCCAAATTATCCTCAGAAGAACAATGATGTAAACTAATCAATTTTCCTTTTACAGCTTCCCTGACATTACAATACTTAATGTCTACATGTTTACTTCTGTTCTTCACCCTGTCACCAGTTGCCATTTTTATAGAGGCAGCATTGTCTTTAAATACCTTTACAGATTCTTTTACATTAATATTTAAATCTTGCAACAACTGTACATACCATGTTACTTCAGAACACAATTCAGATAAAGCAATAAACTCTGCTTCCGCTGTTGAAATAGCAACAGTTGTTTGTTTTCTGGACTTCCATCCAATCAATATTATAATCCCAGAATTTGATTTCCTTGTGTTTATGTCATTTGCATAGTCACTATCAACATAACACTTTAATTTCAATTCCTCAGTAATTTGTATTTGAAGACCCAAATTTATAATTCCCTTTAAATATCTGAGAACCCTTTTTACACCCATCCAATGTAACTTTGTATATGCAACAGTAAAACGACTCAAAATGCTTATTGCGCAATCTATGTCTGGTCTGGACCACTGTGATAGATATAACAAACTCCCTATTGCTGAGTGATATATCTCTTGATCACAGGTTTCACCTTTGTCCGCACTTAAACTATTATAAAAATCCGTACTCATGGGTGTGGGAGCAGTATTGCCATCTTTCATATTATATTTTTCCAATAACTGCTCAAATTTTCTCCTTTGACTGAGAATATAACCACCTTTTTTATTTTTCTGTATCTCTACACCGAGATAATTTCTCCCAAATTCTTTAATTCAAATTTCTTTCTTAATTTATCAGCAAATTCCTTGACTTGTGATACATCCTTTGCGATGAAGCAAAGATCATCCACAAATGATAACAGTACACAATTTCCTCCTTGTAACTGTCCAGTATATATACAATTATCAGCTTTGCAACTCTTAAATCCAAGACCCTTTAAAGCAGTATCTAAACAGATATTTCAGTTTCTGGCTGACTGCTTCAGCCCATAAATAGTTTAATTTATACACCATATTAGGTTTTGCAATTTCATATCCTGGTGCTTGGATCATATAAATTTCTTCCTCTAACTCAGCATTGAGGAATGCAGTTGTGATATCAAAGTGCCAGATTTTATGCTTATACGCCGCTGCCAACGCCAGTGCTAATCTTATACTCTCACTTTTCACAGTTGGCGCAAATACTTCAAAGTAGTGCACATTCTTTAATTGTGAAAAATCTTGTGCCACTAACCTGGCCTTTTACTGTACATCATTATTTGGCAATACCTTTTTCTTATATACCCACTTATAACCCACAGCTCTGGTTCCCTGTGGCAAAGTCACTGATTTAAATACTTCATGGTCTCCCATGGATTTCATCTCTTTATCCATGGCTCCTTCCATCTTTCTTGTTCAGCTTTTGGTAATGCCAATACCTCTTTATAACTTCTTGGCTCATATCACACATTGCAAACCTTTACCTTGCTGGCAGAATACCTGTCAGGCGGAATTCCTTTATTACATTGCTCTGACCTACATGGTATTAACTGCTCCTGTGTCTCAAGTCTATCTGGCTTCATGTCTTGTTCAGCCTCTTCTCCCTGAACATTGACATCTTTAATAATCATTTTTCCATCATTAGATGAATTATTGTCGTTAAATAGATCAACATCATTAAGTGAGACATACCCAGAATTTGCATTAATTCTGTCCCAATTTTGTTCTGCAAAATTAGCAGGCCTTGAAATTACGATTCTTTTACTTCCATCGCTAAAGTGATATCCTTTTGACCCTGGCTCATAGCCCACAAACCTGAGCTTTCTTGCCTTTTGCTGTCCCTTTCTTCTGATTGCTTTTGGAATATGTACTTCCAAAAATTCTCAAATGTGATGGCTTTCTCCCATATAGAATGGCATATGGAGTATTATTAATGGAGGAACTCCACAGCCTGTTAACTATATAATTTGCAGTCAATATGGCTTCTCCCCAATGTGACCTGCTCATACCAGAATCCTCTAATAATGAATCTTTCATTGTTTGCAAAACACCATTCCTTCTTTCAGCTACACCGTTCTCTTTCCTCTAAGCAAGTAGCAAAACAAATACCTGCTATAACCATCAACAATTACCAGTGCATATTTTGCTCCTCCCAAACTGGCTTGCATAGGTCCCACCAGATCTGCATGGACCAGCTCTAGAGCTCTTTTTGTTTGTCTTATGCTATATTTACTAACTGGGAATGCCTTTGACTTCGATGCTTTGCATACTGCACAGTCCAAATATGTTTTGCATCCCTTCAAATTTAGCCCTTTTGCAAACTCTTGCATTTGCTGCAAAACTTTAAAGCTTGCATGGCCAAGTCTTCTATGTAGAAGATGAACACACAAATCATGCTCTGCAACATTCTTAAATGTATGGGAACATTGAACCTTTTGTCCCTGCAATACATATAGATTATCTTCCTTTATGCCTTCTGCACAAATATTCCCATTCCTTTTGATGAGACACTTCCCATTTGCAAAAATGGTCTCAAAATCTTGTTTGTCTAAATTAGACACACTTAACAAATTATGTTCCATTTCAGGTACACAAAGCACATTGGTAAACTTTGATTCCAAATATGGAATTTTTACATCGCTTCTTCCGATGACTTTTGCTTTCTGGCCATTTGCCAAAGCCACAGCTTCTTGTGCTCCTGGAACAAACCTGCAAAATAATTCAGAGTCATTAACAATTGTTTGACTTGCCCCACTATCTATTAGCCATTTGTCTCTGTTGTTGCTATAGCAAACTTTTGCAACACCAAAATGTTCCTTTTGCAAATCAGTCTTTTTTACTTGCACAAATGTCCTTCGCTGCAAATTGTTCCTCTGAAAACAGTTCCTTTTCAGATGTATCTTTGCTCCACAAATGTAGCAATTCTTTTCTTGCTGAGCCCTCTGTTTCCAAAATCTCTCTTTTGATGCAACTTGGTCCCATCTGCTTGTTTCTTCTCCGGAGACTTGCAGCCTGGACCCCCTCCTCAGGAATTTCACCTCCTCATGGCTGTTCCTAAAATGTTGCTTTTCTTCTTCATTAAGCAAACATGCCTTTAAAGCCTCAAAATTTAAGTCTTGCTCTTCTTTACACTCAAATATTGCAGAAACAGTGTCCCAACTTTTATCTAAACTGTTCAACACCAATAAAACCTTCTGGGACTCAGGGAATTTAATCCCACGTTGTTCTAAGTCCAAAAATAAACTTTGTATTTTATTTAAATACTGTTCCACAGATTCACCTGGTTGCAAACAGGCCCTGTAAAGTTTTCTTGACAATTGCACTATATTGCATGCAGAAACATTCACGTGCACAGCTCTCAACTTCAACCAAATCTCCTTTGCAGTCTTTAAATTTGCAACATTTCAAAATTGTTCATCATCTAAATTCAAGATGAGATAAGCCATTGCTCGATCATGACTTTTCTGATCAGCAGCTGCAGACACTTGTGGTGGATTTTCTACAATATACCACAGCTCTTTAGCCTTGAGCAAACATTCCATTTTAGCAGCCCACACAATGTAATTCTTCTGGCCCAAACGAGGCACAGAGCTTTCCTTAAATTCCATTGCAGTCATTCTGCTAATTCTGCCTTGTTCTTATACTTTCTAAACACAGGCAATTTCTTCCAGCTTTAAATTACAATGCAGTCCTTAGTAAGCTCTGGGCCCATAACCTGTTAGAGAATTTTAATTTCCCTTTTGGTGAAAAAATAAATCAGAAGCTCTCACAGTTGACTGCATTTAGCTGATTCAAAATAACTTCTTTATATTTATATCAAAATATTTACAATACCGTACATTCTTCTTTACAGCAACATAGCTTAATGAAGACTTCTTACAGAGAGATACAGAGACAAACCTGAGACTGGAAAAATCCAGCTCCTAACTCAATACCCTTTTTGCACAGACTCAGTAGCACTTTCTTCACATTGGCTGACTGAGTTACCACATGACTCTTCCTGCTCATGAATATTCCAACAATTTTTCTATGCATTCTTTAAGTTAGAGGATTTGAAATACTTTGATTAAAAATTGTTGCCCTACGATGCACTGTTTTGGCTAATTAGATGTTACAAACAAACAGGAGAGTTTTAGTGTTATGTAGATATGCAGCTCTTTAGATCATGCTCTGAAAAGAATGTGGTATGCTTGCTGCCACCTGTCAGCCGTTCCTTTAAGAAGATGTCCCTTTTCCTGGCCTGATATCCCAGAAAGATATTCACTTGAATAAAAAAAAAATTAAAGGGGTTTGAAGAGTATACAAAGATCTTATTGCAACCTCCCTAACTTAAATGCATATTTTCCTGGGACTTGTTAGTATTACCTGAGCCTAGGAAAACATGCAACTGTTTCAAAGAGGTGCTAGAAGTGAATATACCCATGGCCTTATGCAAATGTACTTCTTGGGTTTGCTTTTAGATGAAACATTAAAGTTATTAAATGAACTGACAAGCAGAAGATCTCTTCAAGTGCCAAATATATATTACCACTTGCCTCATTTGTTGAAAAATGAAGGAAGCCTTCGACCTTCGGTACATGTTGGCCTCGGACGAACAGGAGGTAAGCTAGCAAAATCAATATGATTGATAGTGTGATGCATTTAAAAATGTACTTGAAAATCTGTTGTATATAGATTCAGTGTGTCTTCTGAGAAAAAAAGTGAAATTTTCTTTTCTTGTATATCTTTTAGAATTCAAATGGAATTAATTTTTAAACTTTGTTTTCAACCTTTTTGCTTATTGTTTCATACAGATCCTACTGTTTTGATGCTAAGGTATAAGAAAGACAATGGATTTGAAACAGCATGTATTTGCGTTAATTAAAAAAAATAATGCATGAAATTTTGAAATCATAATTTAGCAAATATGGATGCTGCACAGCTTTCATAACACTTTAAAAGTAAAATAAATAATTGGATTAGTTTATCTTTTTGATTTTTTACAACCGTTTCAGCAGAGTCAGTAGCTTTAATAAAATGTCATATTTATCCTGATCACCTTCTTATTCAGTTATTGAATAAGAGTAATGAGTAATTAGAATGGGCATTGAACATATTGTAAGAAAACATGCACATTATAGTGAGGGAAAAATTATTTCATCCTCTGCTGATTTTATATGTTTGTCCACTGACAAAGAAATGATCAGTCTATAATTTTAATAGTAGATTAATTTTAACAGTGAGAGACAGAATAACAACAACAAAATCCAGAAAAATGCATTTCAAAAAAGTTATAAATTGATTTACATTTTAATGAATGAAATAAGTATTTGATCCCCTATCGATCAGCAAGGTATCTTTTATACAGGTAACGAGCTGAGATTAGGAGCACTCTCTTAAAGGGTATAAAAGACACCTGTCCACAGAAGCAATCAATCAGATTCCAAACTCTCCATCATGGCCAAGACCAAAGAGCTGTCCAAGGATGTCAGGGACAAGATTGTAGACCAGTGTTGGTGAACCTATGGCAGGCATGCCAGAGGCGGCACTCAGAGCCCTCTCTGGGGGCATGCACGCCATTCCCCAGAGATGGCAACTGTCTTCTTCAACCAGCCACCCGCTAACTCGCCGAGGTCCCACGTGGCTGGATGCATCCCAGCACCCATGCGCTCACTGGCCTCTGTGTGCAGGGGCTGATGGTGTCAGGTAGCAGCCGCCCCAGCCCCTGCCTCACCTTGCCCTGTGACCATGGCACCCCCGCCCTGCCTCGCCTCGCCTTGCCTCACCCTGCAGGACGAACCTCTTGCCCACCGCCCCACTTGCCAGAGATCCCCTGGATCTCCCCCAAACCTGCCCGGCCCCCACAGGCGTCCCTCCCCACGAGCAACATTGAGGTGATCACGCCCACTTTAGCCACACCCACCCAGTCTGCCATGACCACCACAGCCACACTCACCCAGTGGGCCACGCCCACTTGGCACCTGGTGATAAATAAGTGGGTTTTGGGTTGCAGTTTGGGCACTTGGTCTCTAAAAGTTTCGCCATCACTGTTGTAGACCTACACAAGGCTCGAATGGGCTACAAGACTATTGCCAAGCAGCTTGGTGAGAAGATGACAACAGTTGGTGTGATTATTCGTAAATGGGAGAAACACAAAATAACTGTCAATCTCCCTCGGTCTGGGGCTCCATGCAAGATCTCACTTCGTGGTGTTTCAATGATCATAAGAACAGTGAGGAATCAGCCCAGAACTACATGGGAGGATCTTGTCAAAGATCTCAAGGCAGCTGGGACCATAGCCATCAAGAAAACAATTGGTAATATATTACGCCATGAAGGACTGAAATCCTGCAGTGCCCGCAAGTTCTCCCTGCTGAAGAAAGCACATGTACAGGCCTGTCTGAAGTTTGCCAATGAACATCTGAATAATTCAGAGGAGAGCTGAGTGAAAGTGTTGTGGTTGTCAACACTGTGACACTGGATGTTCCAACTCTGACAACTAAGGAAAATTGCAACCAATTTTACTCTGCTTTCTGCTTGCTTTTTCTGCTGTTTAGGAATCAGATGTAGAAGGGAGATGGGGTGAATGCTTGAGCTCGGCTAGCCACAATAATAATACAACTTATGGGAACTTCGCTTCAGGCTAATTGGAGAATGTGATTTATGACTCTTCCAAGGGGTGGGAATTGCAACTTGTTACTTTGTATCTGGGGGAAGGGAATTTAGTTTTGGATTCAGCTATGTAGTGCTGATACTGTGTATCCTAATAAAATGTTCTTTAAGGAAGAATTCTTGCCTTGAAGTTCTTTTGATAGATTTCATTTATCAGAACCATGACAGTGGTCAGATGAGACCAAATTGAGCTCTTTAGCATCAGCTCAACTGATGAGGAGGAGGAATGCTGCCTGTGACCTCAAGAATACCATCCCCACCATCAAACATAGAGATGGAAACATTATGCTTTGGGGCGTTTTTCTGCTGAGGGGACAGGACAACACCCCATTAAAGGGACGATGGATGGGACCATGTACCATCAAATCTTGGATGAGACCTTCCTTCCCTCAGCCAGGGCATTGAAAATGGGTCGTGACAATGATCCAAAACACACGGCCAAGGCAACAAAGAAGTGGCTCAAGAAGAAGCACATTATGGTCCTGGAGTGACCTAGCCAGTCTCCAGACCTTAATCCCATAGAAAATCTGTGGAGGGAGCTGCCAAAAGTCAGCCTCGAAACCTTAATGACTTGGAGAGGATCTGCAAAGAGGAGTGGGACAAAATCCCTCCTGAGATGTGTGCAAACTTGGTGGCCAACTACAAGAAACATCTGACCTCTGTGATTGCAAACAAGGGTTTTGCCACCAAGTACTAAGTCATGTTTTGTCAGGGGGTCAAATTCTTATTTCACTCATTAAAATGCAAATCAATTGATAACTTTTTTGAAATGCATTTTTCTGGATTTTTTTGTTGTTATTCTGTCTCTCACTGTTAAAATAAACCTACCATTAAACTTATTGACAGATCATTTCTTTGTCAGTGGACAAACGTACAAAACCAGAATGGGATCAAATAATTTTTTTCCTCATTATATATTAGACTTCAGACATTGTAGTAAATGTATATTTTCTGTTCAAAAATTATAATCCTAAACATATGTGCCTGAAAAAAAATATGGCTGCTTGATTAGAATTTTGGATGTTTGCAAGGTAGTATTTTGCCATATATAATGTCTATAGATTTACATGTAATCCTGGTTTAGTGACCTGGCTGGAATAAGATCATAAACATAGTTGTAATTTCACATAGTGACTGATTTATTTAACCACTGAGTTGCTGGCCCCAATGGTAGTCGCTAAATGAGGACTACCAGTATTTAAAAGATTTATAAGGCCATCCCTCTACAACTTGCAATTCTGGGTGTTGTAAAAACATCTACAGTAAAAATAAATACAAAAACCAACCAAAAAAACCCACAGGGCCAAAAACCAAAGATATAATGAATACACAATTGAGATGGCTATGAAAACATACACAAGCATCATAGATAAGCTTATCCACCATCTAGGCCATACATAGGTGAAAAGCCAGGTGTGCACAACTTGTGGCAATTTGAACATCTGGGCAAACTCATTCCAAAGGGCAGGGGCAGAATAGAGAAGGCTCATTTGCTAGGTCCTGTTAGGTAATATTGTTTCAGAGAGGGAACCTGGAGTGGTGCCCATTTTGTTTAACCTTGTTTTATCGGTATGATATTGGGTTGCTATGCTTATATTACTGATTTTGTATACTGGATGTAATGTTTTCCTTATCTAATTTTGGATGGCTTATTTTTATAGAGCAATCAGTTTTAGTGAGAAAATGCATTTTGCAGGCTTTACATTCTTTTGAGGCAACAGGTTTTCTTTGTTCTAATGCATGTTAGGCATGAAAGACACAAGGTCACAGATTAAGAATTATAGCAATCTGTGTATGCATGCGAACTGTTTTAAAGATAGGCTAAGGATATCTATTTCTCATATGCTTGTTGGATAACATAATTTTAAAAACTTTCTCTAGTAGACTCTTGGTATTACAAAAATCATTTGTCACATTCAGTGACATTTGGATCTAAGTGTTTTATATTAAAATACATTTCTATCTATCCCCTCTGACTTAAAAACAAATCTCATCTTTCCCTGGGTTCTGCCATACTCCCAAAGGAAAGGAGGGATGTGCCTGCGGAGTTATTGCTTTCGCTTCGCTATAATGTAACCTTTGCTTCATTTATTACCGCTGTGTCCGCTGCCCGATACAATGTAACAAATTGCTTCCTGTGCTATGTCTTTCTCTGAACTTTATCTTCCTAAACTGTCAGTTAGAACAAGGGAGGAAATAAGGAATGTAACCCAGTGCCTGGTTTATTTCTACACTCTCAGAGGAAGGTGTGAAGAAGCCGCTGACCATCACTGCATGAACTGGAGACGGGCCGATGTTCTCTCCCCTTTCCCACAATGGACTTAACACCTGGAGATTGGCTGTCCCATACCAGATGGGCGGACTGTGGGATGGGGTCTAAGTTGGGGATATCTTAATCTATTACTCTGTGTGGGAAATCTCAGATCCTGTCTATAATGCTTGCTATCAACTACTCTTAATAAAAGTTCCTGTTGGAAGAAACTGTCTCCAAGAGTTCTGCTTTCTTAAGATGTGGGATTGAAGTGGGTCCTTACATTAAACAGGATCTGCAGTAATGGTCAACCTGGAAGTAAGACCCTTACTGGGGGACTTTGCAAAATCTACAATGTCGGACGATGGGGCAGGGAAAGAAGAACCCACTGTGAAAGGGGAGCCCTCCCTCCGGCAGGGACCCTGCCAGCTGTCGGGATCTGAGACGTCATACTCCTCAGAAGAAGTGGTGGAAACGTGCGACCACAAACCTCAGTGGTCAATGGGCATTGGCAAGAAAGATGAGTGGGAAAAGAAATTGAGGAAGGTGAACCCGAGGCGGGGCAGCCACCAACCCAGATGAAAGCAAGAGATGAAGAAATCCCTGCATCTTCGTGAAGAGGAAGGAGGTTGTGCACAGCACTCAAACTGGATCCTAGAGAAAGCTATTGACCTGATGAAAAGAACCCTCGGCTTTCTC